GACAAAAATAGTCCAAAAATATGAACGAGAGTTTTATCATTTTAAAAAGCACTCCAAATCAGAATGGTCTTATTACATTGTCTCAACCTCAGCATTGTATAACTAAGAAAAATAAGTCCCAGAATTAAGATGAGCTCCAGGCATTAAAAAAAGATGCCACAAAGAAATAAAACATCTTTATCATTAATCTGAGCTTTCCCCCACAACATCTGAAATAAATTATTTGCCTGTTCCAGGATCTTGAAATCTGCGGCGGAAATCTAAACTGCTGTATTCAGGACGTTCCACAAGACGGTGCCCTCTCTCCAGAAAGAGCCTCCTTTACTAGTATATGCACACAGCTGAACTGCTCAACTTACTGATCCAAAGTGAATTTCAAATCGACTTTTTATAACTGAAACCTCTAAGAGATGAGCAAACTCTTTAATTCTAGTGAAATTTTAGATGTGAGACCATGAAAATCAATGCTTCCGTAAAGTGCAGACCTCTTTAAATTGCTCTCCAAATCAAGGGTAAGGTAAGGTAACTTGATAAGGAGATATAGTACGTCTATATCAAGACTATTTAGAGCAGTACTGTGCAACAGAAACACAATGGGAATCTCACATCAATTTTAAATGTTCCAGTAATCATATTTTGAAGTTAAAGAAAAAGTGAAATAAATTTTAATAATATATTTTACTTAACCAATGTATCCAAAATATTTCACAAGATGCTGTCAACATAAAAATTATTATTAAAATATTGTACATATTTTCTTTGTACTCATTCTGGTGTGCATTTCACACTTCCAACACATCTCAATCATACTAGTTTCATTTCAAGTGCTCAGTAGCTCAATGACATGTGGCTAACAGCTACTGTTTCAGACAGTGCATATCTAGAGAATCGAATCTATTTCACTGAGCACCAAACTTAACTTCAGATTAAAAGACTAAAATATATCCTGGCCTTATTTAATAATATCTGTATTACTGGTATAGCAAAGCATAAAATATATGGGATGTTATAATAGGCCAAAAGGACATGTAAGCCAGGTACATGTCCAAGTAGAATTAAAAATAAAAACAAAAAACAAGCATTAAAAATTATATTTAACAAGTGTCTCTACATTGTGGGTCTTAAAATTCTCTATTTAGCTGGTTCTGCTAGTTAAAGCTTTCTGAATCCCAGGTAGCAAAAGTATAAATGGCCTCTTTATCAATCCTGATCCTTTCTTCATATAATACATTGTACTTCTCCATGAAGAATGGAAAGTTGATACAAAGGCATTCTTAATAAAAATGAAAAGGATGGACTTCTCATTAGGCCAAAAGGTCCTGAAAGGAGACTAGGTTTTCTTTTTCTTGTCAAGCAGGAGCACAAAAGTTTAAAAGACAACCTTGTTTCTTTTACAAGATGTGTTTATGAGAGAAGTGAAATGCAATCGCTTTGAGAAAGTGTAGCAGCAAGCGGTCACACTGCTCTGTCTCAGTGGGAAAAGGGTGAAAGAAAAGTAGTCTCTAGGTCTGTGGGCAAGACTTCAAGGACCCCTGCACCCAGTTTCAAGCACCACTAACCGAAACACAGCAACATAACTTTTCTTTAGGCATTTCACGCCCCTAAGGAGCTGGCATTCATCTGCAATTACTCATGCTCCCCAAGCTTCGGCAATGTCTCATGTCCTTAATTCTACAGGATAATTCTGAAAATTGACATGAGTAACTGACAGGCTTGATTTTCTTTCTGTACAGGAAAAATAAAAGGGTAAAGATTCAAGTTAGTGAGGAATTCAATTTTTAAAAAAGTGCTCTAACCATTTAACTTGGTTGGTTATAAGTTGTATCCAAATAATAGTACAAAATTGAAAAAGTTATTTAAAGTAATAAAAAGGCAAAAAAGAAAGAAAACAATGCCTTGGAGTGTTGTACAAATTTCTAACTTATAGGAACCTTTTATAAATTTGATCCTCACAAAACTGTAGAATTGAGGGCAGGTATTATGTCATTTTATAAAGGATAGAACTAAGGTTCAGTAAAGTTAATGAAATGAGTCCCTTAAAATTTCGTGTTAAATGGCGGCATAGGTAAAGGCCTGTACTCGCTGCTGCCCACAACCACATCAAATTACAAGTAAAATACAGGACAACCATCATCCAGAACCTCTGGAAAGACGGCTAAAATGAAAGTTCTACAACTAGAGAAGTAAAGAAGAAAGCACACTGAAACTGGTAGGAGGTGCGGAGGCGTGGAAAGGGCTGGTCGGGCACCCATATGTGCTGCTTTTTTAATCGGGAGGGAGGTCATCTCTGCAGAGGCCACCTGGAGGAGCAAGGGGTCCCAGCCCCACACCAAATGCCCAGCCCAGGGTCCCAGAGCTGGGAAAAGAAGTCCCCATGACTACGGGCCATAAAAACCAGTATGGATTGGGGCTCAGTGACACAGAGGCTGTTAGAGACCCAGCTGTTTCTCTTAAAAGGCTGGCACACAAACTGAACTTATAAGGTCCTGCTTCCTCAGAGCTCCAGCACCAAGGCGAGGCTTTGGGGAACACAGACACATATGAGGAGGAACTGGATTGTCGAGCATCGGGGTAGGAACTCGGGGGGCGGCTTATTCCCAGACGGAGGTGCTCGCAAGGGATCATTGTTCCTATGCTGGGACCTTCCAGGTCTGATGGCTGACTGGCAGCCATTTATGTTTGCTCCACCCTGTGGATTCCCTAAGACCCTGCCTCATCCAATTTGCAACCCAACCAAGCTGTGTGCAGTGGCTTTTGCATATGAATGGCCTGCCCTTGCTCAAGCTAAAATTCTCTCAAAGAAGCTGCAGCTGAGTCAGGGAGCCCTAAACCTATCAATAAAAGGCCCAAGATCCGACACCAGCACCAGCCTCCCTTGCTTCATAGCTGGGCCTCATCTGGGCACTTACAAACTCGATATAAAGAGGAAGAAGCTGCAGATCTCTCTGGATATATATTCAAAGAAACTCAGTGGCTGATTTTGCACCTCCCTGGAGACCCAAGAGCCAGTGTACCCAGTAGTCAGTGTCAGACCATACCAGATTACAACTCTACACATCCATAAGCAACAAACTCAAGGGGCAGACTCAGTGAGCACCATAGCCCCACTGAAGCAAGTCCTGCTCCATAGGGGTGTCTCCTGAACAGCAACTCTTCCACTGTTTTTACAGCTGGTCCTCACAGCCAATTGGCCTGGAGGTCAATTTCTCCCAGTGACACCAACAGAAATCAAGTCTCAACTACAACAAGACTGTGCTCCCAGCCCACAAGGGGTGCACCTAGAGCTCCCAGCTCAGATGACTGGGAAGGCTGGCCACTGGGCCCTATAGAACACTTACTACAGAAAGCCACTCTACCAACTCAAGGAGACATAGCAACTCTACCCAATACATAGAAACAAAGGGAAGCAGCCAAAATATGAAGACAAAAACGTCACAAATGAAGGAAATAGAAAAAAGCAAACTATTGGGTATAGAATTTAAAACCATGGTTATAAGGTTACTGAAGAATCTTCTAGAAACCTCCAAAAAAATGGAAAAGGACCAGTCAGAAAGTAAGCATACACTGACTGAAATAAAGAATAATAGTCCCTTGCCGAAACCGGTTTGGCTCAATGGATAGAGCATCAGCCTGTGGACTGAAAGGTCCCAGGTTCGATTCTGGTCAAGGGCATGTACCTTGGTTGGAGACACATCCCCAGTAGGGGGCATGCAAGAGGCAGCCGATTGATGTTTCTCTCTCATCAATGTTTCTGACTATCTCTCTCCCTTCTTCTCTGTAAAGAATCAATAAAATATATTTTTTAAAAAAGAATAATAAACAGGAATAATAAACAGGAGTAGATGATTCTGAGAATCAAATAAGTGATTTGAAATATGAGGAAGCAAAAGAAAAACCCAACTAGAAGAGCAAAAAGAAAAAAGAACCCAGGGAGAAACCAAGATGGCGGCATAGGTAAACACCGGAGTTTGCTGCCTCGAACAACCACTTCAAAAATACAACTAAAAGACAGAATGGACATCATCCAGAACCACAGGAAGGCTGGCTGAGTGGAAATTCTACAACTAGAAGGAAAGAGAAAAGCATACCAAGACTCAGAGGAGGCACAGTGCGGAAGTAAAATACTAAGGTGCGGAGGTGCGTGCGAAGAGGGCTGGTGGCTGAGGGCAAGGTTGTCATTTTCAATCGGGAGGGAGTCTCAGGCTCTGAGCTCCAGTTCCGGGAGAGTCTCTGGGGACCCATACGGGAGAAGTGGGACTGTCTGGCATTGGTCGGAACTCAAGGGCAGCTTTCTCTCAAAGGGGCATGCAGCAATTGCCCAGGCACTGAGAAGCGGAGCCTCTGAGAGAAGCCATTACTCCTAGCACCGCCCTGTTGATCCCGTGGGACCCACGCAGCCCAAACCCTGCAGGGAGGCTTTTGCTGGATAGCCTAAGGCAGAGGCTAGATTAGCACCTCCCTAGAGATCCAGGAGCCAGGAGCCACCCAGAGGTCAGAGTGGGACCATCCAGTTTGCACCTCCTCAGATCCTTAAAGGACACACTCAGGAAGCAGACCCAGTGAGCACCAAAGCCCCATTGAGGCAAGTCTTGCCCTGGAGGGGTGTCTCCAGCACAGTTCTCCCACTGCAGACACAGCTGATTCTCACAGCCAATTGGCCTGGAGGTCAATTCCTCCCAGTGATAACTACAACAATCAAGGCTTAATTACAACAAGACTGTGCACAAAGCCCACAAAGGGGTGCACCAAGAGTGTCCACCTTGGGGAGGCTGAACCATTCCTCCTCCATTGC